GGACAGAGTCGCGGCTCCCCCCGCCGCCCCCGAGCCCCCCTGCCCTGGGCTGGCTCCGTGCGGGGGACAGGAGAGATGTGTTTGGGTAGAGCCAGGACCAGGCTTTGATCCAGCACTTTCGAGGCTGGGAGCGGGAAGTACCGGGAGAGAAGGAAACACAAAAGGCTCTTCCAACCTAAATTTAACAGCGGGACCCCGGCCAGAGTCAGGGACGCCCTTGCCCAGCCGGCTCCGGCATTCCTGGCTCCCTTCCCATGCTGGCCCTGGCCCGGTGCTGGTACCCCCCGGGGGCACTAGCGACCCCCAAAAGGATAGATCCATTCTGAGCCAGGCAGGATGGGGCATGGCACAGTTTGTACCAGCTCTGGTGGGACATAGCATGGCTGTGTGCCTAGGTGTGTGTTGTGACAGTCCCCCAGAGCTGCTCAGGTGGGCACTGCATGTCATCTCAGAGGACTTTCAAACCCAACTGCCCCTGATTCCTCGTGTTGTCCCCGGAAAGCACCATCATGCCAGTGCTGGGGGGTGCATCCTGAACTGCACGGTCGTGGTAGAGGCAGGAGAGGACACCAGCTGCCCTGCACCCCATGCCATACCCTGCACCCTACTGCAGTGCCATCTCCGTGTTCCACCAGGCAGATCCCGTGGCTGCCCATGGACCTCTTGGCACTTGCTCTCCTCCTGGGTAAGCAAGGCCTTGGGGGCACCCTGCATACCCACAGTGCTGGGAGCTGTGGTGGTTCAGGGACCCCAGTCTGGGGTGGAGGGTGCTGGGCAGTGAAGGTGGTGGCAATGGCGGCGCTCCCTGCCTGGCAGCGACAAAACCTAGCAGGGAATCCGGGCTGCACTAAGCCCTGTCGGGATTAGCAAGCGCCTGACCTGACTCCTGACTCCCCCCCAGCACTTGTCGGCACCCTGGGGCTGCCCAGGCCCCCAGGAGCACAGACAGCCCAGCCCCCCACTCACCCTGCTCCCTGCCCCTGGTCACGCGGCCGCAGCGCTGCTGCCAGCACCTTTCCGGATCATGGAGCTTCGTGCTGCATCAGTGGGTCGGGATGCAGGGATGGGACGGGATGGGACAGCTGGGGGTGGGGTGGGTGCGTGGAGGAGCAGGGGGTGCCCAGGCACCCCAGCGCAGCCCCCAGCCCATGCCCTCATGCTCTCTGCAGTGGGGGGACTGGTGGCAGGAGGTGCCCAGGCACCTGACCTGAACCATGGCTGCACCCGCGGCAGCTGCTACCCAGCCACTGGGAACCTGCTGGAACCTGCTGGTGGGGCGAGCCACCCGCCTGAGTGCCACCTCCACCTGTGGGCTGGATGGGCCCCAGGAGTACTGCATCGTCAGCCACCTCCAGGTGAGCCCACCCAACCCCAGAATGGCTCCTGCATAGACCCACAGAGCCAGGCCCTGGTGCAGCCTCCAGTCACCTATTCCTGATGGTGCCACTCCCTGGCACAGGACTCGGAGAAATGTTTCACCTGTGACTCACGTGACCCGTCCCTGCCTGAGAGCCACCGCATAGAGAATGTCATCTACCTAAGCAGCCCCCATGACCAACGGACCTGGTGGCAGTCAGAGAATGGTGAGGTGGCAGTGGGGTTGCCCCACGTGCGTGTGCTGTGGGCTGCGTGGCCATGGGGGTCTCCCCTAGCCTTAGGCATCATTGTCTCTGTCTCCCAGGTGTGGAGCATGTCAGCATCCGCCTGGATCTGGAGGGCGAGTTCCACTTCACCCACCTCATCATGAAATTTAAAGTGGGTCCTGGCACATGGATGCCTAGGATGGGATGGAATGGGATGGGACAGGATGGATCCAGAGGGGCTGTGGGTCTGGCCACCACCCCATCTGGGTGTCCTGCAGACCTTCCGCCCCGCGGCCATGCTGGTGGAGCGCTCAGCAGACTTTGGGCGCACCTGGAAGGTGTACCGCTACTTTGCCTACAACTGCTCCAAGCTCTTCCCTGGAATCCCCAACCACCCTTCGGGGCTCGTGGATGAAGTGCTGTGTGACCAGCGCTACTCTGAGATCGAGCCCTCCAGCCATGGGGAGGTGCGTGGGGATAGGGCAGTGCAGAGTGGGGCCAGGGGTCTGGGTGGAGTGGGATCACCCATTCCTTCCTTCTCACAGGTCATCTTCAAAGTGCTGGACCCCTCCATCCCTGTGGCAGATCCCTATAGCCCAGACATCCAGAGTATGTGGCCGGGGTGTGGGGGATGCGGGGCTGGCTGGTGTCGGGGCAGGTGCTAACAGTGACACACCCCAGACCTGCTTCGCGTCACCAACCTGCGGGTGAACCTCACCAAGCTGCACACACTGGGTGACAACCTACTGGACTCACGGCGGGAGGTGCTGCACAAGTACTACTACGCTGTGGATGAGCTGGTGCTGCGTGGGAGCTGCTTCTGCCACGGCCACGCTGCCCACTGTGCCCCAGCACCGGGTGCCCCGACACCCTCTGTCCCCGGCATGGTGAGACACACACCCACCAGCACAGCACAGTGCCCAGTGGGACCCGGCAGCCACACTGAGCTGGGTGCTCCCCCAGATCCATGGGCGCTGTGTCTGCGAGCACCACACGCAGGGGCTGAACTGCGAACGCTGTGAGGACTTCTACCATGACCTGCCCTGGCGCCCGGCCGAGGGCTCCAGCACCAACGCCTGTCGCCGTGAGTGCCAGGGCTGTCAAGCTGTCCTGTGCCAGGGGTATTGGGATGCTGCAGGCTGTACTTTGGGGAGGTTTGGGGTTGTGGTGCTGCATATCAGAGTAAGGGGAATCCAGGCAGGGGAGGTTTGGCACTGGGGCTGCTGCCTGCCAGATGTGGGCTGTGGTGCCGCATGCCGTGCCGCGGTGCTGTCCCTGCAGGCTGTGACTGCAACGAGCACTCACGGAGGTGCCACTTTGACATGGCCGTGTTCCTGGCCACGGGGAACACCAGTGGGGCTGTGTGTGATGGCTGCCAGCACAACACCATGGGCCGCCACTGCCACCTCTGCAAGCCTTTCTACTACCGGCACCCTCGCTCTGACATCCGGTCCCCCACTGCCTGTGCCCGTGAGTGTCCTGGGACCCCAGCCTCATGGCTTGTCCCAACCCTGTGGCTCCCAGTGCCACCTGCCCCAGCCTCACAGCTCCTGGTGCCAATAGCCAGAACTCCTCATGATCCCCTCTCTTGGCAGCGTGCGATTGTGACCCGGCAGGCTCACTGGATGGAGGTGCCTGCGATGGGCACACGGACGTGGCGCTGGGCATGATTGCGGGGCAGTGCCGCTGCAAGGAGAATGTGGCTGGTCCCCGCTGTGACCGCTGCCGGCACGGCGCCTATGGCCTCAGTCATGGCGACCCACAGGGCTGCCAGCGTGAGCTGGGAGCCAGGGATGGGGATGGGAGAAGGGATGGGGATGGGAATGGGGGGATGATGGAGGGGTAGGGATGAAGGGATGAACTTAGAGGGATGGGGAATGAAGGGATGTTGATGGAGGAATGGGGATGGGATGGACGAGGATGGAGGTAGAGGTATGGTGATGGAGGGATGAGGATGGAAAGATCTGGGATAGAGGGATGGAGATGGAAGGATGTAGGATAGAGGGATGTGGCATAGTTGTATGGAAATGGATGGAGGGATGGGAATGGAAAGGATGGATGGATGTGGAATGGGGAAGAAGGGCCATGAAGCATGTAGGCTGTGGTCCCACTGGCACCCTCTCACATGTGCATGTGTGGGGGCAGCATGCAGGTGTGACCCACGGGGTACAGTGGCAGGCAGCTCCCCGTGTGACCCCATCAGTGGGGACTGCTACTGCAAACGCTTCGTGGCTGGGCGCTCCTGCAGCCAGTGTGTGGTGAGTGCCCCAGCCTGCCCCACACCATGCCTGTGGGCCTGTGGGTCCCCAGCCCCACGGCAACCCCCAGGGCTGGGTTGGCCCTACATGTCCCTTCCTCACTGCAGCCTGAATTCTGGGGTCTGAGCTACGACTTGGGGGGCTGCCGGCCCTGCGCCTGTGACTTCGGGGGAGCCTACAACAACCGGTGGGGCCCAGCACAGCACCTGGAGGGGCTCTGGGGTGGGGGTCACACATGGGGGGAGGGAGAGATGGGAACAAGGCCGGGGAGATACAGGAGCTGGGATGGAGGGAGAAAGAGAGGGATCTCTATCCCCAGAGGTGGAGGGATAGGGATAGAGATGGAAGTAGGGATGGATGAAGACACAGACAGATAGAAGGACAGATGAAGGGACAGGATGGTCACCCCCAGGTGTTCCATGGAGGATGGTGCATGTCCCTGCCGTCCCCACATCATGGGGCGGCAGTGTGACCAGGTACAACCCGGCTTCTTCTGTGCCCCCCTCGACTACTACACCTATGAGGCCGAGCAGGCCACCGGCCATGGACACAGCCACCCTCAGCTCCCAGTGAGTTTCCTTGGGGGTCCCTGTGCTTGTGCATGGCTGCCACTGTGCACCATGCTGCATGCATAGCTGCCACTGTGCTCTATGCATGGCTGTTACCCTGTCCTGCATGTGGCTGCTACCATGTCCTGTGCATGGCTGTCCCTGTGCATGGCCACTGTCCCCTGACCCCGTCCCTGCAGGGTGCCATTCGGGCGGAGGTTCCCCAGGACTGCCTGGAGTATGACACGAGGGAGCCGGCAGGGCGGAAGGGACGCTCACGGCATCAGCACAATCCCCCCCGTGCTCCCCAGCCCCCTGTCCCCTTGCGCCGC